CCGTATGACTTCTGATTGTGGTCCAAGCAGAAATTGATTATGAAAAGAAATTGTTTCGATATCAAACCGATAAATACATTTTAAAAATATCTTTGATGTTTTCGAAGGCTATTTTCCATAAACAAAAATAAAAACTCAAAAGGATAAACGATTTGTATATATTGAAGAATGAAGATTCACTTTTCAATAGTACTAGATGAAGAGACCTATCTGAATAATGGATTAAAGTCAGTGTTTTAATGGATTAAAGTTTCACACTAATAAAACCAACCGGGTACTTGATTTTAATGAGTTAATTCCTTATTTTAAAAACTGGAAAGTATAGAAACATAAAAGGTACTCTCCGCAAACCTTGTCAAAGCTTTGCACTACAAATCCGCTAGTGTTACACCCTATACTTCGCTAAGCCGAACATAGGGGCATCACCTATGATCCTATCTATAACTGCGGCTCTCGTAACTCTGATCACAGAGTGTATCACTAGTTCAATCCTCGCGCTTGTGCCATAACCCCATTCCCTCTACTACATCCATTGTACCTGCGCAACGCACATGCTTTCTGGCTAAGATAATGTTAAAGGAATGTTATTGCTTATAGAGACACATCGATGTTATAAATATTATATAGTTTATACAAATTCAATAGGGCGGTACGTAGATCTTAGATTAGTAATCGAATAATCACGAAGCTTTTGAGGAATACTTAAATTAGTCAGTAAGAAGGGTGGGACTATGCACAAATCCTCCAGCTATCAAAGAATAAAAGTGCCCAGATGCATTAACTCGAAAAAACTTAACATGAGAAATGTGTATTGTATAATATATTAATAAAGCTTCCTTTTTGCTTCCATTTTTACTACCGAATGTTCAACGCTTGTTTTTACTTCTTATTATTCAACTATTATTCTGTAATAGATAAATCTAATCCACTCGGTATTGAGTCTCTCGCTTAAATTTCTCTGTTCCGATTACTGAAATGAAGTTTCCACATTGCTGTGGAAATCTTCTCCATATCTTCACACAAAATATAAACATAAAAATGAACTTCATTAGTTCAATAAATCTTATTGTGCTGATATCTTATTTGTGATAATTCATTTATTGCTTTGACAAACTATAATATATATATACTTTGTTAAGGACATTTTTCGATTATGAAAAGGCACACTCCTTTTTGAAAATATCTATTTTAAGTAATCAACTTAAATTCAACTTTTAATTGAAGCTTTCACAGTTAAATTGAGTTCTAATAAATGTAACAGAATTTACAAAAAAAAAAAAAATTATTCTTGGAACATGTCTTCATAATGCATTTTCTATTTTCCAATAAAGAAGATACTTAAGATGCAGAGTGGCTCACCGAAGCCTTTTTAATGTATGCAATGAATATTGGCTTTGGTTTAATTTATTTTTATTTTTATTTTAATTTAATATAAAAATATACAAAATAGAAATTTCCAAGCTGGTCATTGGAATTAGCAAACATTTTGGCATTTGCTGGCTACTCCTTTACACAGAGCAATCTCACACGTGTCCTGCCACTTCCATCAGCTTACGAGGATATGCAAATATTTCCTGAGTTTAATTTAAATTTGATTAAACAAGTATTGATGGGCGAAGTTAAACCTACAGAGTCTGGTTGCATGTGTGTGAAGGAAATAAGCCAGCAACGTGTGTGTGTGTGTGTGTGGGTGTGCTGATAAATATGCAAGTTTCGTGCAAACAAATATAAAAACCAACTGCACAGCAGCAATAAAATTACTGTATAAACGAAACAATGCTGTTAACGTTACTGCTTCTCTTATTGTTGTTGCAACACCAACACACTCACAGTCCAGGCCACAGTGAACACTGCGCTTCCACAACTTTAAATAAAAGTTAAAGCTTTTGATCGTCTTTACTGTTGTGTTTACTGAATAAATTTTATGTAAGGGCAGGTCAGTGCTTTAATTGCTTATTTGCGCATGTATTCTCGTGTGTTGGTGTGTGTTGGTGTGTGTCAATAAACATGGAAAGCAATTTGGGCGCACTTACTAGAGTAAATACAGGGTTAAAAAATAATACCAAAAATAATTTAATTATTTTATTATTTTTATTGCAACTTACATTGGGTTGCCTTAAGGGATTACTTGAAAATTAATTTAATAATTATTAAAAGTTAAGACAAAAAAAATTTAAAAAGAGATGAAAGGTAAAGGTTAAATTAAAAGTTTAATTATATTTCACATATTCCAGAAATTTGAGTAAAAACTTTTATGATTAAACACAAAAGTTATATTAAATTTCATTTGATTATCTCAGAAAATGGGGTCCACTGCACAGTACCTTAATTTTTGTACGAATCGAATAATAGAACTTATAAATTGTCAGTGGGTGGTATTGTAATAATTCATTTTAATAATTTAAATGACGTAAATAGAACTTTCGTTAATTTGTGAATACCATATATTCTTGCAAGAAATATACTTCAATTTCTCCATGAAATGCGTTGGAAACATTAAATAACCAAAACAAAAATTATAAAACTTTCATAGCAAAGTAACAAAACTCCAGAAAAATGTGCGAACATAAAAGTCAAGTACGGTTTTGGGTCAGTTGGTTGAGGTGCGCTGACTCTGAGCTTCAAATATGGCAGGACCCGAGTTCGATTCCATGTACTTGCAGTCTCAAAAATAATACTTTACGAATACTTAAATACAAGAATTATTTCCCAGGCCACTGATGATGGGAATTTGTCAATATTTGAAACACCTGTATGGTCAGACAAAAATTCAATTAATTAAAATAATATAAAATGAGTTTTAGTTGTTGTAGTTCACTACTGTTTGAAAAAACCTCATTAAAAAATAATTTCTAAAATTCATAATAAATGATATATTATAGCTAATGTTTATAATGTATTTTTCGATGCCATCAAAAAGAATACAATATAATTATAAACAATTTATTCTAGCTAATATTTATAATATATGCTCAGGTGCAATCAAAAATAATTCAATAGAACAATGAATGCTGTATTCTAATAAACGCTAATCCTTATAATATATGTTTGGTTGCCATCAAAAAGAACTCAAAGGAGAGTCTATTTAAGAAAACATGAATATAATGCATTTAACACATTCGACTACAGTGTTAAGTATATTGTTGAAGTGATTAATCAAAATTGAAAACAGTTTTTTTTCTTACGCTTCTTCATCAAAAACTCATTAAATATCTTACTCAAGTCATTGACCTTTTGTTTGCGTTTATTATAAAAAAAAAACTATAATAAAATATAAAAAAAAAAAAATTTTATAAATGAATATATTTTACAAAATTTTTATATACTATAACACGAATTCTATTTCGACTTGCAAAAGAAATAATTATGAACAATTTTTAAAATCCTAACACTTAATTTTTAATAATCCAGTGAGTTGATAGAGCATTGCAGAAAACATTTTATTATAGATCAGATGCATAAAAACACAGCAGAAATAGAAAAATCATTTAAAGATAAAAACGTATACGCAGCGGTCTATTTGGACGTTGTTTAAGCATTCGGTAAAGTATAGCATGAAGGACTCATCAACATACAAAAATCTCATCTTCCACTCCAGAGTACGGTGGACTTATAAAGTCGTACTTAACTCGACTACACTTTCGTTTAAAACAAGAAAATGCGTACTCCATTCTGGAAAAAATCAAAGCTGACATACCCCAAGAAGGCTTTCTCAACACACCTCCATACCATACCGAAACCTGCAAAATTAAACTAGGTGCAATATGAAGATAGTTTAAAGGTTTCGAGTTTAAGAATTTTTTTTCATAATTATATGTAATTTAGCCCTGCCCTGTGCTAATGCACAAACGAGATAGATTCCTGAAAATGTACATTCTTAAGAAAGAGGCACCAAAACTCTGTAAATTAGGTTCTATACTACTATTTATTTACTATTTATTTATTTATCAACTTATAGATATTTCAAGTTATAGATGTTCGAGGAATAAACGTTTGACTATACTTCAAAATTTTTTGCTATATCTCTTAATGATAAGTTAAGATGGTTAGAGCACTCAAAATAAAGCATAAGGAACTCAATCTAAAGGCTACAAAGGAAGGACTGGAAGATTAAAACTCTCCATATAATATAAATTTATACTTTATAAACGAATTCCAAATCCTATAAGGTTTTTGTTACACGAAATTGCACCTTAAAAATCAAATTAAATAAGCAAAATAAAATTAAATAATATTTTGTTTTATTATGTGATTAAATTTGATATATATATATATATATATATATATATATATATATATATATATTGTGACAAATTCCAATTCAAAAATTTCACAAATTTTGATTTCATGTGATAATTTAAAAAGTATTTATTTATTATAAAACAGCAAGACTTTAAAATTTTTGAGACCCCAGAAGATTTTAGTAAAACCCAACAAAACAACATTTGTCCATTATGAACCCAAAAACACATTCCATTATGGATTTAATAATGAATATTAATAAAATAAATATGATAACAATTAAAAAGTATTTACTTTTCAATTACTTGTTTAATAAGAAATTGACTTCACATTTGATAATTAGTTACTTTACAACACAATTAACGTCACTCATACGCACAGTGGCACACATAAAAACTTTTCGTATTCATGTTGCCGGCACCATGGTTCCCTTTTCAGACTACCAATTAGGCAATTCAAACTAAATTCAAATTAATTTATATATGAGTAAATACAATTTGTGCCATACTTTGTCCTTTAGATTGCACCATTCAATTTGTACACTATCAAACCGAATGCCAACACTGAATGAAATTACACATTTCCAAGAGAGAAAGGCAAACGATTTAATATTATTTCCAACACCGGAAACAATTTTCAGTAATTTTAAAATTTGAATTGAGTGCAATTAAAAGCGAATCAAATAAATGCATGTGAGTGCGTTCAAATAATGGCAATAACTCCTACATCCTGATTTATGCACTAATATGCCCACTTACCTTGCTGGGGCTGTGTATAGTTCGCAAATAAGGCTGAGCAATTTTCATAGCTTCGAATTGCCAGGCGGTAGGTCGGATATATAATGCTGGGTGCTGTCGTTAGTGCACTCGTATTTAGTGATGTAACCGTTGTCGGTATTGCAGGTGTTGCAGTGATGGACGTTGCTGTTGTTGCTAGTGATGCTGCTGATGAGTCTATTGGTGTTGTTGCAGCAGTAGTCGTAGTTGCTGCTGCTATTAATGCTGTTTTAACTGTTGTTAAATGTGAACGCAATATTGCAGTTGTTGTTACATTTGGTAACAGATCAACAATACCATTTTGATTTATTGTTGCTGGTGTCGTATCTGCTATGCTAAGTGTAGTTGTATTCGGAGTTGTAGTTACTGGTAGGATTGTTGTTGCTGCACCATAGCCATTCTCATCGGTCACATTCTGAAAGTACATATATAGCACGCGGGTGACATTTGTTCGTATAGATGTGATTGTTGCTGCTAAATTGTTGGCATTGCTGATGCTTAAAAATTCATTGCTGTCATTTTCATTTGTACTGTTTTCGTTGCCGATGGCATCATGTAATAATTCAGTTTCACTTGTGTAATGTTCGTTGATATTTCTTTTTGCCAATAGTGACATTGTTTCAGTTTCTGATGGTATTGTTGTTGTTGTTGAATCGATGGCTTTGCGTATGATGCGTTTAATTGTTGTTGGAATTACGGATAGTTTTGCTGTCGAAATATTGGGATTATCGTCAGTTTCCGTTTCCGCTGTTGTTATTGTCATTGTGTGCGATACGTAACATTTATACATGAATAAATGCCATTTTTATCCTTCTTTGTTTATCTACTTTACTTTTATTAATGAATTTATTTCCGGCTTGACTATTCGTTTGTGTTATATAGTAGGGATTTTGAGTATTGGCACCTTTTTTCCTCTCAGTGTTAAAAGCTAACTAAAATATCGCTCGTCATAAATTGACATATCAGTTGTTTTAAAATAGTATTTGTTAGTGTATGTTGACACTTTCAGGTAACAAGAATAAGGCTTCCTTAATCCAGGTATTTTATATATTCCGTTTTATCTGCAAGTTAGAAAGATATAATTTTAAAATAAAAAAAATTATTTAATATAGAATATATGATATAGTATGAATTTTTTTTATATCTAGGTATATTATTAAATATATATCTATGTTTTCAAAATTATGGGTCGACACTAAATACATTCTGTAAATTTTTAGATTTTTCAACTGTAGCAACAATTTAACTATTAATATTATTAGTTATTTGAATATAGTTAAATTTAACAGAAAATCAAAATTTAAATATGGTTTTAAAGTTTTTTCTAAAACGAAATTGTTTATTTGCAAATTTTGATAATTTATCTTATGTATATTTGTCTTAAAATATTTAAAAAAAGTTTAGAATAAGTTGAAGTTAGATTCTTGGAGATTTCAGAATATTAAGTTATATGTGTAATCGTTGATGAATTCAAAAAAATTTAAGTAATTTATTTAAAATTACTTAAAAGATAAAATGAATCCTTCAAAATTAATCGCTTAATAGCACATCGCAGAAAATATGGAATACCGAACTCAATCAAAACGGTAGAGCATATTAATTGCAAATGTACAGTACTGATGAGACTAAAACCAAAATATTCCTAAGCGATCAATGTCAAGAGTTTAAATAATACCATGGAATAAGGAGTTGCCAGACTGCTGCAATTCATTAAGAATATGTCACTCTCCTTTGAACTAACCATTTATTATAAAAGTAGACGTGAAAATTGCTCAACAGCCGGTACTCAGTCCTATTGTACCAGTACCAGAACTGACCATTACCTTTGTAAATGATTTTTTTTCCTCCGTAAGTCTAAGTGTCTAATTGGTTCATGTGTGGGTCTTTAAAGTCCTTTTTAACCACGTTTTGTAATAAAAATAAAACTTATTTTTAATAAAACTTATAAGCTAACTGCTTTTAGTGGTATTTTGTAGTAGTAGGTTATTGTAGTAAGTTAAAGATAGAAAGAATATTTATTAATTCAATTCAATTAATTAAATTAGTAATAATAATGAAAAAGAACGTATCAACTACATTTAAAAATTATAATAAACTTTGATAGTAAATTATTTCATAAGACTAATATTAAAAGTTGTATATTGTATTGCACTTCATGTTTTTGAAGTGATGTGATAAAATAGTTTTGCATCACAAAAATAATATTTAATAATGAGTATAATTAAAAAATAATAAAAAACTAATTATTTAAATTAGTAAATTTATTTCTCATGTGAAAATTAGTAAATTTCTAACACAATTAACATCACTCATACGCACACAAGCACTCATATTCAAATAGCTGATACCATAGTTTCCTTTTGAGACTGCCAATTAAGCAATTAAAATGAAATACAAATTGATGCAAGGATGTGAAATTTGTGTCATCCTTTGTCCTTTAGACTGAAGCATGAAGTCGAAACAATCGTTTCATTGTACCTCAAATTTTGACTTGTATAAATAATTAATGTTGCGAGAGTCGTAGAGTGTTTCAAAAAAGAAAAAAATAGTAAATAGATACCTGATTCTAAGAAGGAAATATTGGTGGTAGCCATACTATAGCTTGATATATACAAATCTCAAACATTCAGTGTTTTATTTTTCGAATTTTTATGAAAACTTCTTCATAAAGTGAAGTATATATATGTACGGCAAATAGACGCATATTTCAAATTAACTGAAGTCAATATCTGCTTAAGTAATACTCTTTACTGTAAAATATTACAACCAGAAAATTAAATAATGAACACTTCAAATAAATATAACAATAATTTATTCCCTAATTAGTAATAATAGTAATAAAAGTTAGTAATAATAATATTGCAAAGAGAAAACATTTCTGATTCATTAGAGAATAAATGCCATTTTCGAATGGTGAATCTGGCGTAACTTTTTCAATGAAGATTTATTTCAGTGCAATTTTAATTTCTGATTGATAAATCTAGAAATGTATAACACTTTAGATTAATTTATATTACACTAGATATTTTACCAAATTAACAAGATTACTCTACAAAAAATAACAGTTTTATATGATAAAATATACAAGTCCCACTTGATAAATATAGTGGGACTTAATTCGATATATGTATTTATGAAAAATATAAATTTCAACTAATACTACTTTAAAAATGTAAGATTATTCTAAAATTTTATGATTGTGTAACAATACTCGACAGATCGAGGATAAATCCATATTATCTCCCACCGTGTGGAAGTGCTGACAACGGCCAACACGCGCCTTCCGAACCCAACCTAACCTAAATCCATATTAAATCCACATTTACCAATTGAAAACACCATTAAAGACTGTTCTGTAATTTATTAGGCACAGTATATTTGACAGATGACATGGGGTCATGATATATTAATTATTCAAAGCAAAGAAAGAACTTTGAGTCACAAAAAACTCGTAATTGATTTTAAAACAATTGTATATTGTTAGTTAAATCAAAAAAATTATTCTTTCAATGATTTTAAAATTTGCGTATGAATGAAAAGTATTTTTAGAATGTACCATAAGAGCAATAGTTTTATATCGACATCTAAGAGATATAATAACTTGAATTCTATTATTTTAAAAGCCATAACTTTTTTAAAAAATATCAGTAAAGGATTAATCTTACCAAAGCAAATAATTTTCAATAGATAATAACAATAAAAATTTATAAGAAAACATTAAAAATATAATATTCCGCTAAAGGACAGATTTGCAGAAAGATAATATTTTGTTTTTTATTACCTTTGATTTTGTAACTAATTATTCAATTATTTATTTTTAAAAATTTCATCAAACAAGTAAATAATCTTAATCTATTAATCTTAACTTAATCTATTTGAAAACCTTCTCTTATAAGAGAGAATATTTGTGATCCATTAACTAATGGAGTTTTGTATAATAATCACAGTCAGTCACTGTGATATGCATACAAATGATGCGTACACAATATGATATGATATTCATGCATACATACATACTTAAATTATTATAAGTTTTACGTATTTAAAATTTTAATGAAATAATTTAAGTACAATTAAAAAAAATTTTCTAAAAATTTTTAAGCAAAGTTTAAAAGCAGCTTATTATGTTTTATATAAAAGAAAATATTTTTGCATAAAATGAATATTACTAAAAGTACATGTCACTGTTTAAAACTTATTTAATTTTTATGTCAAATAAATAAATGCACTGAGAAGTTCTTTTTATGGCATTAAATTTTATGCACAAAAAGTTAGAATATTATTTATTATAAACAAATGATTACAAAATTATTAAAATTAAAAATTATTTTTATTCTATGACAAGAAATTTAAAATTTTTTTTTTACTCAACTGAATTAATTAAATAATATTGTATTAATTATATAAGAATTTTTACCCTGAAGATGAATGCAATACAGAAGTGAACGCAATTTAATTGGAATAATCAACATAAGTCATATATGTTGAGCAACATGTTGCAGTAGTAATAACATTTGATTTCAGCAGATTATTCAATATTCACAAAGGTTTAAATATGTCGTTTAAGACAGTAGTGCGGTTAAGTAAGCCTTGAGAATGGACAATATGTTTGATTGCATAAACAAATAAATCTTAATTAAAGTTTTCAGATATAATTAATAGTTACTGAGAAAATGTAATAATTTGATTTTGGGAGACTTAATTACTTGTAATATTATCTTGTAAGTAGTTTAGTTTGAAAATTCACACCTCAGTCATCTATTTGTTGATGTAAATCGTAATAAATAGTTCTTAATATTTCGTAGTATCCAAAGGAATGTAATCCGCAAAGCACCTGTTAAAATTCTCTCTATTGCTTTCGTTTAATTAATTAAAGATTTTTGACTTAAGCGTTTCATATTTATATTTTTCTTATCCGTTTAAATGATTTTGATCATATTTCTTAAAATAAAAAAATTCTTATAATCAATATAATAAGTGTAGTGAAACTAAATCCATTATTTTTGCATGAAATTACAGCCTTATTTAACAAAGTTAGAATGATTCGATTTGGATAACTTGAAGGTAATTTCATTATGCCTATCTAAGCCAATAGGGACGATTGGCAAAAAATTTAGACAGGCGATTTTCACAAGCTTCTATTGAAGCAAATTCTTCACCAGAAAAACCATTCGCCATGAACAGAAACAGATGGTAATCACTTGATGCCAGTTTATAATCTGGACTACAAGGTGGATGCATAAGAACTTCCCAAACAAGGTTTACATATTTTCAAACAAAAGTGAGTCCACCAATTACCAAACTATCAAAAGTTTGTTTAGTAAAAAATCTTTAACATCTCAAATCTTATACCATCTAACGTAACCCGATCGGATTTATCGGGTTAAAAAACCATTCTATTTAAAGCAGTTTCATATATTTGCACAACATGACCAAGCAAGCGAAACCACAGAATATTATTACAATTACTATGATATAGCTTATATAGCAATCAAAATTTAATAATTTAATTTAATTTGATATCTGTTATTATTGTGAATGGTATTATAGATCTTCTGAAAAATTTTCGATTCCTATGGTTATATTATCTTCTCATCAATATTGGTCACTATCTAATCTTATGTACTACACAGCAGGAGAGACATAATAACGAAATCTTGGAGCTTGATTATTGGTTGTTGAAAAAGTTTTATTTTTTAATTTGATAGCACAAAGAATTATTTATTGATATGTTTATTTCTAATGAAAACTCTAGACTAACGTCAATTAAATTTTATTATTTCAGCGACTTTCAAGACCGAATGAAACCAAATGCATATTTTTATAGCTTTAGACTCTAACTTTTAGAAAAAAATTTTAAATTTTAGTATTTTATTCTCTTCTCTTCTATGATTGCACATTTTATTGCATTAATTTTGAAGTTTATTATTTACTAACTCAATGTACTTAATCCTTCATTTATCATTACTACTTTAATGATATTATATTTATCAACTTCTTTTTAATTTTTTTAAAAAATAGAAAGCAATATTCCAAACAAAATGCCAG